CAGCTCCAGGCAGAGTTCCTGGTGTCCCACCAACACAGGTGTCCCCTCCTGCACCCAGGTCTCAGGGACAGCCATCCATACGTGGGAGCTTTGGGAGCTCATGAGGTTATTAGGGATGCTCCGGAACAGATTCAGCAGCAAATGAAGCAAAATAAAACCCAGTTATCATTTCCATGTCTTTGAGCTTGTTGTTGGCCATCACCCAGGCCTGTCTGAGCTCACCTGAGGGAGGGCAGAAAGGGTTTTATCTGATAAAATAGATCAGAGAGAGAGATAATAGACAGATAATGCTTCCTGTGCCAGACCCCCTTTGGAAAAATGAAGAGCTAATGAAAGAGGAATATATTTAGAGACAAAAAAGGACTTGCGCACAGCCCAAGCCTCTTCCAGGCTCCTGGCCAACCTAACTTCAGTGTGACAGCTGAGATGGTGTCTGAGAAAGTGAAAAACAATTCCGACCAGAATTGTCAGAGGAAGGTCTCTAAATGAATATGGCCTGGTTCTTTCCCCTGCCACAAGCAACCCTCACTCTGCCTAATGAAGCTTTACCATCTTCAGCTGTTATCAGCTGGTTGCTAAGACTTTCATCCCCCAAAAACCCCCCATATTCCTTAGCTGGGATGGACAGGACATGAAAAATGCAGCAGGGATGCTTATATACTGTATTGAGACTGTGTATAGAGGCTGTGTCAGTATATATTCTGTGTGTCTGTATATATTTTCTGTCTCAGCATAATGCTTTGCTGTACCGACTAGTGATTTTCAGGGACTGTTCACGCTGCTGTTATTTACAACAAGTGATGGCTGTGGCTGGTCTGGTAGCACAGCCCGGGGAGGTGGCTGGAGGGGACCAGCAGCACCCGCTGCCAGCACCTCCTGCGGGGACCAGGGCTTTGTGCTGTCCCTGCAGACACGGCAGCAGAAATTAGAGCAGCTCCATCCCATTCACACGCTGTACTATTTTTACAAGCGCCGGCAGCACGCGCCGTCCTTCAGGTTACATCTGCCTGCATGCTCCTTAAAAAAGGGGGAGGGGGGGGCAAATTCAAGCAGGGAGGGAAGCAGTGTGGACCCTGGGTCCAGCAGTGCCAAGATAAACCAGGAGCACTCAGGAAAATACATAAATGAAGCTCAATCTAAAGCATTTACAGAGCTAAGAGTGGTTAATGAGCAGTAAGTAGTGGGTTGCTGGTAATTTTGCAGCTTCTTTGTCGGGGACTTGGGAACCTGCTGTGTTTTATAAGTCGCTGAATGGCAGAAAATGGCTCAGTTTCTGCTGGCTACCGGAGCGGATCCACACTCATTTGTGCATTTGCGCACACAGCTTAGAAACCAGGTCTTCAGTCTGTGCCATGGTGCCCTGAGGTGGGCCACCATCAGTACCCAGACATGGAGCAAGTGGTTGGATTTTCCCCATAACGGGGTTGACATTTTGCTGCCCGGGCAGTGAGCGGCTGGTGCTGCCGCCCACCTCGCAGCGCTCCCTCGCCTCTCAGCGGGTTAATGGGGCTGGAGAGCAGCTTTCCAGCAGGCTTTTCCCTCAAGTGGGGGTCCCGGCAATAAGTCTGATTGATTGGGAGAAGACACATTTTAGGACATGCACTGGCTGCAGACGAGCGGGGTGATTCATCCCTGCCTGTCTGCAAGATGAGGTAGGTTCATCAAGCGCTCCGCAGAGCCACGCAGCGCAGCAGCAGCAGGCTGGTGTCTAATAATAATACTCTGCCAGCAATTAAAAATATAACTCCATTTAAGGGTGAGATACGCAGCTTGGGGTAAAGACTGTAGGATGTAAAAAATGACACCAGCAGGTATTTTAAGACAAAACAGCTGAAGGCACAAGCTGGCTGCATGGCACGGCTTGCTCCCTCATGCTGGGCAGCTGCTCCCACCCCTTCAGAGAGCAGGAGGAAAGTCCCCCATCTCGAGAGGTTTTGCTATTCTCAGGAGCAGCAGCTGCCAAAGACACTGCGGAGGCTTGCCCCACCTTTGATTTGGGGCCAAACAGGCAGGTTTTGGGGACAGGAGGCTGGGAGTGCAGGCAGGCTGGGGTTTGCAGCTCCAGGCAGAGTTCCTGGTGTCCCACCAACACAGGTGTCCCCTCCTGCACCCAGGTCTCAGGGACAGCCATCCATACGTGGGAGCTTTGGGAGCTCATGAGGTTATTAGGGATGCTCCGGAACAGATTCAGCAGCAAATGAAGCAAAATAAAACCCAGTTATCATTTCCATGTCTTTGAGCTTGTTGTTGGCCATCACCCAGGCCTGTCTGAGCTCACCTGAGGGAGGGCAGAAAGGGTTTTATCTGATAAAATAGATCAGAGAGAGAGATAATAGACAGATAATGCTTCCTGTGCCAGACCCCCTTTGGAAAAATGAAGAGCTAATGAAAGAGGAATATATTTAGAGACAAAAAAGGACTTGCGCACAGCCCAAGCCTCTTCCAGGCTCCTGGCCAACCTAACTTCAGTGTGACAGCTGAGATGGTGTCTGAGAAAGTGAAAAACAATTCCGACCAGAATTGTCAGAGGAAGGTCTCTAAATGAATATGGCCTGGTTCTTTCCCCTGCCACAAGCAACCCTCACTCTGCCTAATGAAGCTTTACCATCTTCAGCTGTTATCAGCTGGTTGCTAAGACTTTCATCCCCCAAAAACCCCCCATATTCCTTAGCTGGGATGGACAGGACATGAAAAATGCAGCAGGGATGCTTATATACTGTATTGAGACTGTGTATAGAGGCTGTGTCAGTATATATTCTGTGTGTCTGTATATATTTTCTGTCTCAGCATAATGCTTTGCTGTACCGACTAGTGATTTTCAGGGACTGTTCACGCTGCTGTTATTTACAACAAGTGATGGCTGTGGCTGGTCTGGTAGCACAGCCCGGGGAGGTGGCTGGAGGGGACCAGCAGCACCCGCTGCCAGCACCTCCTGCGGGGACCAGGGCTTTGTGCTGTCCCTGCAGACACGGCAGCAGAAATTAGAGCAGCTCCATCCCATTCACACGCTGTACTATTTTTACAAGCGCCGGCAGCACGCGCCGTCCTTCAGGTTACATCTGCCTGCATGCTCCTTAAAAAAGGGGGAGGGGGGGGCAAATTCAAGCAGGGAGGGAAGCAGTGTGGACCCTGGGTCCAGCAGTGCCAAGATAAACCAGGAGCACTCAGGAAAATACATAAATGAAGCTCAATCTAAAGCATTTACAGAGCTAAGAGTGGTTAATGAGCAGTAAGTAGTGGGTTGCTGGTAATTTTGCAGCTTCTTTGTCGGGGACTTGGGAACCTGCTGTGTTTTATAAGTCACTGAATGGCAGAAAATGGCTCAGTTTCTGCTGGCTACCGGAGCACACCCACGGTTTGCATCCTACAGCGAGGAACAAGGGGTCCCAGGAGGGGTCACATCCAGGTCCACCTGCAGATATGGGGAACACCAGCACTGGAGCACTCCTGGCATTGGCATGGTTTTGGCATCTTCTCATCCTGGGAAATGATAGCTCATCACCAGGCTAAACTGGTCCAAGCTTGATTTTGGGAGGAGGTAACACCAACACCACCGAAAGCTTTGCTGCATTTTCCTTTGAGCTGGTGGGGTTAATCACTACATAGAGAAAGGTCAGTAGGACCCTTAGCTGGCCTAGTCCAGCTATTCCTCGTTTCCTCAGTTTCCTCTTTTCCTGCTAACACATCTTATTTGTGAACAGCTGAAATTTAATTTCAAAGCAACTGTGTGCACTGCTAAAGTCAACAACCCAAACGCCATAAAAAGCAGTTCTCTCATGAAAACATTACCGCCTTGTGTAACCCACCTTTCTGAAGCACGGATTTGTATCCAAGGCTCTCTCCCTGCAGGCAAGGATGCACTTTACTCACAGCATGGGACCAGCTAAGAGCTCTCTATCCCCCTGCTCTTGTAAGCAGGACCGAGCCATGTAAGCAGCAGGAAGCCACCTGGGAGCACTTTCATTTCCATCCCTGCCCATAATTATTTTAATTTCTGCTCCCAGTTTTCAGCTCACTGGCAGCTGCAGCTCGCTTACAAAGACAGAAGAAAATAAGGATCTTGGTAGACAAACCCAAACCACCCAGAATTGCAAAGTGTAAATCAAAAGCAACGGTCACACATACTCCCCAGGTTTATAATAGCCTCTCCTGATGCAATTTGCATCTGATCACTGTTGATATTTAGAAGATCTTCAAAATGGTGCAAGCACCTTTCCAGCAACAGCACGGAACGAGTAAGTCCAGACCCAGCATTAGATTTTTCTGGGAAAGTTCCTCTCTCAAACACATTTTGGCTTCAGCTGTGAGTCACTTGGTCAGAGCCTCTCCTTACCAGTCCCAGTGCCACTTCTGTCCCCAGTGCCACTTCTGTCCCCTTCTGGCCACAGACTCGGGCTGCTCCCCTGAAGGCTGCTGGTGCTGGCTTCACCCTCTCACCAGAGTGACAGGGGACATCCCCGAGTTGTCTGTAAGGCAGGGGCATTCAAAAAGGAGAGCCTCTCTTAATCCCACAGGAGTTCAGCCGGGGGTCGAGGTCTTCGAAAACCCAGTTCCTACTCCTACCACACAGCTTGGAAAAAAATTTTAAAAAGCCGGTGGACATTTCTGTGGCATCAGGGATGGAAATCTACTGCTCACTGGCTTTTGCTTAAATCAGTAGCTTAAACATGCAAGAGATCAGAGAATTAGAGACAAAGCCCCTGAGTGCTAAACCACCAATGGGTACCACAGGCCAGGACCCTGGATTTCACACCATGTGCAACGTGTCTCTAAGCCCAGACCCTGCTGGGGGATAGTGACGGTCTTGATGGGAGGCTGTGGACAGAGGAAAAAACCAGAAAGCCCCAAACAACCCAGCAAACAAAACTACCTGGCTTGTTTTTTCCACCACATACTTCTCCCAGGCAAAAGCTTTTAGGGATAACACTCCCAAATCACTCGAAGACGCCTGCCCATCCTTTCTTGTTGGTTGCTATGGTGAGAGATGACGGAGCCCCAGATGGGTATAATAGGAGGCAACGCGCGGTGAAGGGATTTCGCAGAGGCAGGAGGGAGGTGAGCGGTGGGAAGAGAGGAAGGAGCTGCCCATCCCTGGCCACGCTGCTCACCGGCACCGACGGGCCACCGGCGACCTGCCCGGGGAGGTAAGAGGCTGCTCTGGGAGGGCTCAGCGATGGGTGTGTGTGCTGTTCTGCTCTTCATGTAAGAACGCTAAAAGCAGTCATTAAGATGAGCTGATTCTTGAGTGAATGAAAGGAATGATTAAAAGAGAGAGGAAGAAGGAAAAAAAGAAAAGGGTTCTCTGGCGTGCAGCTCCTGCTCTGAGTGCTCAGCCAGTTGGGACAGATAACCCTGCAACGAAGCAGAGCGCCCTTTGGAGATCTAAAGAAATGATGTACTTGAAGTGATTTGTGACTGTTGCTAAACAGTAATTTGTTAGCAATCAGTGTCTTTTATCTGGGGGAAAGCTTTGTACTTATTATTCATATATTTGTATTTCCCTAAAGGCATTGATTTTATATTTCACCAACCTTCAGATTTCACACTTAATATCCTGGTATTACAGCGTGAGATGCTGCAAGAACAGAATGAGTTTATACTCTATTAAGCAACAAGTAAGGTACAGAAAATGCAGTAACAACTTAAGCCAGTGAATTAGGCATTATGCAGCTTTTAAAATGGCATTCAGGTGTAAAATCAAAATATCTATTGGCAGTTTCACAAGGCAAGCTGGAGTTAGTTTAATGATCAGTTTATGTTAATCACACTTGCAGTATCCTTTCTATTCCATGGGAAACAAAAAGCTAAAAAAGCTTCCTATATAGAAAACTAGTCACAAAGAAGAGATTTTTTTAAAGATCTAACTAGAGCATAAATTATGCCCAATGTCCCAGTTGTATTGTTTTGACTATGAAGCAGGGTGATACAGTAGTCTGGGCACCAGCAGGATTCATCTTCTGTAATTTTAGCCACCTAGGACCTACTGTCTGATCTCAGCTAGCCAGGTGTAGTTCTGGCACCAACCTAAGGGCCAGTAAAGCTGGTGGAAAGACTTTGTGATGTCTTGAGCCTGTACAGGAATCAGCCTCTCCTTGCATCTGGTTTCAGGGGCACAATGAACATCGAAGTGCACAACATCACTTACACCAGCGCCACCATCTCCTGGGCCATGAACAACCCCTGTCCAGAGAACTACTACCATGTCATGTACCGTCCCAACTGGAACAGTGTCTTCGCTGGCTATTTACGCCAAAATTTCCACCGTGAGGAGCGAGTTCCTCACCCCCTCAGCTCCCTCGTCCTCCACCGACTCACACCATCCACCATCTACGTCCTCTGCATCACGTGCAAGAACTCTTACCCCTCCAGCAACCATTGCACCACCTTCCACACTCTGGACAAAAGCCCTCTGGTTTTCGGCGGCTCTAAGCATGAGCCTACCACCTCCATGTGGATGGTGAGCAGCCTGTTGCTCCTCTGCTTCGTTGCCCTCCTGGCTTATGGCTGCCTGCAGTTCTGGTCTGCACAGTGCCACCGGGCTGCGAGGCTGAAGCACCCTGATGCCAGCCCCGAAGAAGTAGGAGAAGAGAGCAGCTCACCAGAAGGGCCCCTGAATGATGGGCTGAGAGAGGAGCTTCTGGAGGTCCCCATGACCACTGTGCTAATGAGGAGCTCCAGTTTCATGCGGGAGAGTCCGTACAGCTCCCCTCACTGCTTTTTTTCCTATAAAACCAGCGACGATAAAAGGGCCATCTTGCCACAGCATGGCCTTCAATGAGAGCAAAACAAAGGCAGACCCTGCTTAGAGGTTTGGTTCGTGCTGTCCTTTCCCAGCTCTTGCCAACAGGACTGTCTGTGTGTCCATGGGGGCTGTTTGTCCCAGGGTAGACCATGAGGTGGAGACACTGGTCGCAGGGAGAAAGATTTTTGTCGAGTGACAAAAATATTCTCAGTTGCTGGGTTTTTTTCAAAAAGAACCCAAGCCAGCTCTCTGGGAACGGCCAGGGTTGGCTGACTGTAGTGTCATTAGCTAATCTGCATCTGCTAATCTGCTGTAGGTTCACTTTGGAGTCATAAATCAACATGCACAAGAAATAAACTCCACTCAAGCAGTTTCACACTTGAGCATCACATCCCAAGTCCTCTAACGCCTGTACAAACAGCCATCGCAGCTGATGAGAGATTTTTGTCAGTATTAAGTAGTCTATGTTTGCACACACAAGTATTTTAGTAGTACCCATTTTGAACTACAAATGGGATTCTTGAATTGGCACCTTCCTTAGGAAGGAACTCCAACTCGTTCTCTCTGCGTCTTTAGATGGATGTGACTTGGTCTTGGTACCAACCCCAAGCACAGAGCAGTGTCAGCATCTCCTGACATAGGCATGTGATGGAGAAGAATATGGGAAAGCAATAGCACAAGCACACTGAATCTGCTTCTTGCATGGCTTTTTGGTTTTACATGGCAACGCGACCCTGCACATTTGCACCCGCCATTCTGTTAATGAACTAGTTCTTACATTTCTTTCTTCCTAAATAAATACTTCCAACATCCACCCCTTCTGGCTGTTGTGGCTCATTTACTGACCTTGGATCCGTAGAGGTAATAGGGCTGAACATTGGCTGGCTTGTCCCGCTGGGGCTCCTGTGTGAAGGGGATTGCTGTCCTCACAAACCTGTGGTGGGTGTGGGAGACGGGGAAGAAAGTGATCAGAGACGAGTTAATTGTGCTGAGTGTAGATAGGGCACAGCCTGGGATGAACTGCAGCTGCAGACTAATTAGCAATTCAGTCACCTCAGCTACCTGAACTGGAATGCAAACTCCTGCCCCAATCTCTTGGTGGTGTAAAATGTCAGTTTAACTTACCAAAGGTGAGGTTTCTTCTCATTTGGGGCAGGCAAGGAACCTATATATGAGCAGCTACCACAGCTCTGCTGCTCTGTAAACCAACCCTCTAAACCAGACTAGCTCAGATGCTTGCACTCACTGTCCAAGTCTGTTGCTTGAATTTGTTACTAACATTTTCAAGGCCAAAGGGAGCTGATGGGCTTTAACTTCATTTGAACTGTAACTGTTGCATCCCATAGGGAATGAAAAATGCACGTGCATTGTACTTCAGTTTATGTGGCAGGTTTGACATTTTGGAAAGAAAAGCAGGGTCTCCATGTGCCCCCTTTCCTTGCTTTTCCTCCTCACCTGTTGGTGGATCCATTGTAGCAGTAGTTGGGTAGAAAGTCAAAGTTGAGCTCCCAGAAGACGTGGAGGGTGATGCGCCCATAGGGCGCGGAGACGTTGTGGTTGGCCTCCCGGAACATGGCATCAAAGCTGTCCAAAGTCATGTGCTTGCACAGCAACCTGTGAGTCAGGCGATTGATTTCCAAGAGCCACTCCAGCTCCTGCAGCACATAAAGCAACAGCAAATGCAACGTATTACCAAGATGACAATAGCAACAGCTCATTTAATTACCAGGGGAATGATATGATATCCACACCCACACAGAACTTTGCAGGTGAGGATGCAGCAAATGGTAAAGACATCAATTTCACTCAGTGGCACAGGCCAATTGCACTTCTACTCAAGGGGTCCTGGTCCAGTATCTCCTAAACCTGCAGGAAGCAAAATTAATTTGTTCTCCACTGAGCAGTGTCTGGCTTTCACGTCAGAATCCTTCAAAGGTGGAAAGAGGTAATTTTACACTATTTGACTCTGATGCTCCTGTAATGTATCAAAGGCAGCAAATCCTGTACACACACAAACAGCGTCTCAGCCACCTTCATCCACAGGGGGAATTAAACCCGAGATTTCCTTCTCCCAGGTTACAGGACTCTCTTATATAAGCTCTGCAAAATATGACTGCTGACTGTCACCTTATGACTTACACAGACACTTAATGGACCAATAATAATGCAATTAAACCTGCATAAATAGAAATAGTGAAGATTCAGCAGCATAAATGAGAATGCATGGCTGGCTGAAACCTGCTGTAGATGGGACGAAGCAGAAGACAGTTGCCTGTGTATCCACAGCAGTGTATTATTCTCTCTATTCATACCCTCAGTCAAGAACAGTTCTTACCACTATGGACGTCAGGTCCTCGCTCTCAAAGCGGCTAATGGCCTGGTCCAACGATTTGTACATGGCTGCTGAGATACGCTGCGTAATGAGCCTGTTCAGGTCAATTGATCGACCCAGCAACTGGGAAAAGAGAGAACTGCATGTTATATACAGATGGGGAAAAGGTACTTTATGTTTTTTTAACAGACACAAATTAAAACCAAACATCCAAATCTGCTTAAATGTGAAAGTGCTGATGCAAAGGTCTTGCTTGAGTTTACCATTGCTTAAGAGGGAAGGAGGGAGATGTGGAGTGTAACTCATTTTCCCCTTGAATCCCATGCATGAGTGCAGTGTGTCAGAAACAGGTTCAACTCTTCTCATTCCAGCATCGACCTCAATTGAGCCCAGCACTGGGATGCCACCCACCAACAAAAGGATAGTAGACCAAGAGCTATGAGTGCTGGAGCCTAGTGCTTGCATGGTACCTGGACATGCCTCTGCTTGAGCAGTGTTTCGTAGCGGTTGGATGGTGGGTATGGAATAATCACCCCATAATTCTTACATTCAGCCCGGAAACGTTTGTCCAATAAAACACTGAAAAAAAGATAAAAGATTGTGCTGAAAGATATCACTAGTGACAGGTACTGGTGTGCTCCCTCCTTGAAGATCTGCTGTGAGAACACCTGTTTGGTGATGGTGATTGCTGTCCTTCTCTAAGGCCAGATGTGATCTAGAGACAAAACCCATTGCAGTGTTACACTGAATACTTGGTTAACCTCTGGGGATGTGAGAGGAGGACTTTCACTAGAGTTTATCCATGTTCTTTCAATTGGTAAGAAGGAAATGTCACAACGGGGCTATATCCTTACAAAGGAGCAAGTGACTCTGCAGAAGTCCTACGGTCAGCTGTTCTGATGTGTGACCTAACATACTGAGTACCCTTCTAGCTTTTTCAGGTCCTGCCGCTTTAGTAGAGTGAGGACAAGTGCATATTCCTGTTTCTTAAAAGATGGGAGGCTTCCACTCATCTGCCTGGTACACAAACAGAAGTCAAGCCAGGATATGTCTTCAATAGGCTCGGTTTGCTTTTCTGCTGCTCTCACAAATTGGACTCAGACAGCTACTTAGGATGCCAATTATTATTTTTCACTTTTAACTGTGTCTCCTTGCCACCATTAATTCTTTTTCCCCATCTACACTGGTCTGACATGGACAGCCAGCTCTGTGGGACAGAGATGATCTATTTTGTTATGTCTACTTGCTGCAGCTACTCCCTGAGGGGAACCTTTTGGTTAACAGCAATTTGGATGCAGTGATATCATCAGTCATCATCAGCAGTCAGGTTCAGGTTCTCCTACCTCCCAGCCATTGCTTTATAATAGGCAAAGATCTGATCCGCCAGCTTGTACACAAATTGATCAAAGCACAAATTCACCTGGGAGAGAAAAAAACAAGACGTCATGAGGGTGTACCCAGCACAGAGCAGCTCCTTCCTACGCATGCAAGATCAATACAACTCAACACAGAGCTCTAATTTAATACATACATGTATGTCACACTATCTAAAAACCGCACTGCAGTTCTCACATGCTAAAGGTAAGCAGAAAATTGCAGTTATATTTCCCTTTTATAGTTTCTGCATGTTCTTAGAGGTCCTGGTCCCCCATCCCCAGTCATTCTTCTCCCTCAGAGATCTCGAGTTTCTCATTTTCCTCTGATGTCTCATAACTCTCTGCCCATCAGACTCTTCCACAACCCCAAGTGTTTGACAGCCTTTGGCGTCCATGGTTCCTCATGGGTACAGCTAAACTGAAGCCCTTAATCAGCAGAGTCTGCAAGCTCTGGAAATCTTGATCTTTTGAAAACTTCTCAGTCTGATGGGATCTTTTTTTCAGAAGATGCCTACGATGAATTCACTGAACTGCTGGGTGGGGCTGTCAAACAGGGCAATGTGACCACACTGAGCTCTTTCCATACCATAAAGACGAAGGGAACTTACTTCAGCTTCAATTTCATCGTATAGGAACTGCTTTTTGAACTTGGTCAAGGCATAGTATGCACTGTCATTATAGAGGTCCAAGGGGTACAGTACGTACCTGAGGGCAAGAAGACAGATCATGTCTTACATTAACTTTGGAATGTATCAGCATAAACGTCAGCCAGTGCATATGCCCTGGTTGGTGCAAAAAATGGCTTTTCGCTGACTTTACTTCTATCACTTCTATTCCCTCCAGCCTCTCTCTTGCTGCTTGTGTCCTGCTGGAAACAGCTAGAACAGATCTGGACTTGAGCTAACTGTGACTTGTTCAATCAATGCTTGCTCTGTCTCTGCCCTTAAAAAAGTGCTCTCACTCTACAGAGTGCTCTGATAATGGCTGTACAATGAAAAACAAAGTTTTCCTGATGAGGCAGATATTATGAACATAATTACACTTGCATAGCAGCAATTCTTCTCATCATTTACCATGTATATATATAAAAAAAAGTGTTTAGGTGCCTTAGCCAGGGCCCACATCCCTTGGATTGCACATGCTGCCTGACTGCTGCATGCAGATGACTGCACCATCAAGTTGTGCCCACATCCAAATAGCAGTTGCCAACTGCTGTTTTTTGATGCATAAGTGTGTGCCAGTACCAGGAAGCCGCCCATGTGCGTCTGCTAACAAGGTATTCGCTCAGTACACATTCATGTGACAGCAAGTCAAGAAACATCTATTTTACCTCCCACGTCAAAAAGACTGTTCATCACCAGCCTACCCTTCTCCAAAACAAAATCCCAAGCCCCAGCACATGTACAGTCCCAACACAGCCCATCGGCTCTTACTCCATCATGGAGGGTTCTTTGGTTTCCAGAATATGGTCCGTCAGGATCCAGGGCATGGACATTTCGATGGGGAACTGGATGCGGCGGCCCATGGTCAGCTCCAGGAAGAACTCCCGAAACCAGAGCTGGGAGAGGTCGCAGCACTGCTGCAGCGCTTCTGAAATGCAGAGGAGATCCCCCCAGAGGGAGGGCACCCATGTTACCCCCATGGGGACGGCAGCGAGGGAAATGCACAAGAGGCAGCTGCTGTAGCCTCATATTGGACTAGTTTTGAGTAGGGAACATTTTTCTCAGATGTCTGTTTTTAAACCCAGACCATGTCCATACTGTCTGAGCACTTTGGAGTGGGAGAAGAAAGAAGGGATTGTTCCTTTTGATCTAGAGATCCTTTTGATTTCAATGGCTCAGAGTTATTCAGGAAGATTTCTTTTGTGCCCAACTGGCTCAGAAGTTTGTCTGGGATGGGAAAAACCCTCCAGTCCTAAAAACTAAACTACCACTTGTAGCTATTTACTATTGCAGACTCCTCCCTGTTCACTTAATGATTATTACACAGAAACACACTCTGCCAGCCAGAAGTAGAACATTTGGGAAAAATCAAGGAAAATCTTCTGCATTGGTCAATGAGGAGCAAAGATGATCTACCTTTGCCTATCTTAGCATGCAAGAGTTG